GCATCCGCTCCATCCTCCTGTGCGCCCCCCAGCCCCCTTGTGCTCCCCCCTCCGTGGCTTCCAACCCCAAGCCCCCCACCTTGCATGCGGCCCCCGGGCTGCAGGAGCCAGGGCCACGCACCATGGGCACCAAGCAGACCAAGGGTTGCCAGCCGGGCAGCGCTGGGGAGAGCCCCCCGGCCCACCACCGCAAGAAAGTACCCCCCAGGGAAAGGGGGGATTTCCTCGCCTCCCTCGTGGTGAAGTCCGGCGAGAAGTTTGGGAAGGGTGGTGGCAGCAGCTTGCCCCCTTACCACCGGCGGATCTGCATGATCCAGGACATGCTGGTGCTGGTGAAGCAGGGGAAGCAGGAGGAGGCCACCGAGCTGCTGAGGCACCTGCGGCAGGTGAGGATGGGCAGGTTTCTGCTGGGGGGCTGCCTGCTTGCGGTGGGGAAAAGTAGTCTGGGAGGAAAACACATCCTGGTTTCGAAAGCCTGCTAACAAAGAGGGGGGCACACTTGGTTTTTGTGGGTCTAACTTTCGTGGTGTAATTTTGGGGAAGTGGCTGAGGAGCTGCAGGGTGGTCATGGTGCTAGAGATGGGAAAACAACCCCGGGGAGGTGCTTTGCATTGTCTGCAGCGAGGAACCCTGCCGGGTGCATTTTTCTCCCCTTCATTGCTTGCGCTGATAGCTCTGGGCTTTGCAGTATGCACAGCCCACTCAAGGAGGTTCCCACTCAACTTTCAAAAAGTTTGGTGTTTAAAGCAGATCTGTAAAAAGCGCTGAGGCAATTTGAGCCAGCAGCTTTTAAGAATCAGCTCTTTTCTTCCCGGCTCAGAAATGCCAACAGTTGGCAGCTTTGCTTTTTATCTTGTTCTTTTTGACACGCAATCGCTTGGTGGAGTTTTGGTGGTGTTGGCTGGGGCTTGTAGAAATGAGCGTGTGAGACGCTGTGCGAGAGCGGGGAATTAATTGTACGGAGCCTGAGACCTTTCCCCTTGAAAGTCTGTTTGAGCTGGGCATTAGCTGGGAAGCAGCCCTACGGAAGGTTGCTGTGAGCAAACAGAAAGGCAGCTGAGGAGCACTGCTCTGTATCCAGCAAATTAGCATTTAACCTTTTCCACTGATAAACGGTTATAAAAAGACTGAAGTGCTGGGCATTTTTCAAGGCTCTGGGGTAGGTAGGGCTCCGAAAACCAGCAAGTTTTCCATGCAAACTGAAAACAGACCTGTCTCGGAGCTTGATTTTTCTCCCAAGGAGCCTGCAAGGCAACCAGCTGCTTGGCGTAACCAGTTCTACCACCTGGGGAAAAGTTGCTCAGCGCTTCACTGAGCATCGAGAGCTGCTTTCTTGCCCCGTAGATCTGCTCTGTGTCTGTCTGTCCATGTGAGAATGGCTGGTCAAGAGTCTGCATGATTTTTTTTCTTGATTTTTTTTTTTTTTTTTTTTTTTTCCCCCCCCGGTATAGTTTTTCCCCATTTTCTGGTCCTGTTAACTTCTTAGCCAGTGGGTGTGTTGTTTGGGCATGTCCCTGACCCCTTCACCCCCCACTTCCATTTCCCCCATCAGCCAGGGTCCCTCTGCCCAGCTGGTTTACGTGGCTCAGGACTATCTTTGGAGCAGTCCAGCTGAGAAATCCGAACAGTTTCATATGTGTTTGCGTTCCTTCGTAGAAAGCTCTCGCGACTTACTCTCAGCTTTGAGATAAGGTGTTTTTTCTGAGATAAATGTGCCCCCTCCCCGGGAGCTGGGGACTCTTTGGGACAATGACCTCTCTGGGCAGGATCTGTGTGGCCGCGGTGGGTCAAACACGCGGCCGGGAAAACCCTGTGGGGCAGAAGCGGCCATGAGTTGGCCAGCAGATCCATGCCAAAATGTTGCACCCTCTCAGCCCTGCCAAAGCTTTATCGTTGCACCCTCTCAGCTCTGCCAAAGCTTTATCGTTGCACCAGCAGCCCGTTGGAGCTGGCAGAAAGGCAGGTCCTAATTTTAGAAGGTGTTTATATCAAACATCCCCCCAAAAAATAAATCTTTGCGTCTGTGAAGTACCGTGCATCGCTCCCAAGTTCTCTCTGGCTTCAGATACTGGTTTTTTTCTCAGCGATGCTCAGGACCATCCTCTCCCCCTCCGCAGGTCGCCCATGCAGGGTGTGAGAGAGCTGGGACATGTCACTGTGGCTGCCCTAGTGACAAATCTGACTGTGGGGACATCCCATCATCTAAGGCAGAAAAAAAAAGCTAGAAATTAATTTTAAAATGCTGGGGGAAGCGAGGAACCTGTTACAGTCAGATAAGTCTTTGTGAGTGAGTGTTTCTGAAGAGCTTGCTCTGATAAAATATATCTTGGAGTGTCAAAATAGGGAACACTTTGTCCTAGATACTATAATAGACTTGAAGCACATTTTTAATGAGCCGGTATTATTCCTCGCCTCTGGGTAGCGAATGTGGGATGCCCCGCTGAACAAATCCCGAACAAATCCCAATTGTTGTAGTTTGTGATGGGCTGACTTTTGGGAGGTGGTGTTTTGGGGGTGCATCTGTGGCTGCAAGGGATGCTCTGTTCGCTCCCAAGGGTCTGGGGCTCTGAGGTAGTGGGAGTCCTGGGGAGCTGAGCTCCTGCCACATCCCAGCCTAAAAATGCAGATCTGGGGGGGAAGGATGAGCTTTGCCCTGTAGAGAGGGATGGATGGGAGAGCACGGTGGGGTGGGCATCTCTTCTCATGAGCTATTAATACGGCATCCACCGCAGAGGGGCTGAGGCGTTGGTTGGTCCCTGTGATTTCTTAAATGCAATGCTGCTGCTGCTGCAAAACGTGTTTCCCAGCAAACCTAGTGACCTGGTGCCCAGCTCTCTGTTTTGTTTAGTCTTTTTTATTTTTTTATTTTTTTTTTAAATCCCAGCCATTTAGGTCACTGGGAGCCTTTCCACTGACTTCACCAAGCTCTGAGGCCAGCTCAGTGTGTTAGTGAGGGGGCAGGCGACAGCATCCCCGCGATTTGGAGGTGCTCCATCCTTTTTTTTGAGCGTGACGAGCATGTTGCCAGACCTGAGGCTGGCCAGTTTTTCAGCTTTCCTTGATGTGATGTCCTGCCCGACCCACCTCCTGCAAGACAAGGTTTGGGGGGCTTCTCCTGCCTGCCAGGGCCCCCCCAACAGCTGTGTTTGATGATCAGCCAGAGGGCAGGGCAGCAAAACATCATGCCAGAGCATGGGCAGGTCCACGCTGGCACCAACATCCAGCATGGCCTTTTGCGTTTCACCAAATTTACCCATCCTGCTTCCCTCCCCTGAAATGGGAGCGATGCTGTTTTCGTTACAGGTTCTTGTAAGGATTAATTAGTGTTTCTAAGAAGCTTGGAGATTGCAAACAACTACGAAAGCACTAGAATACGAAGCTGTTGTCTTTTTGTTTAAAAAGGTAAAAAATCTGAACAGCAGGCAGGCTTATTTGCTTTGAGGCTGCTCCTCAGAGAGGTCAGAAGCGGTCTGGGCTGCGGCAGCAATTCGATCCTGCTGCTGGCCCACAAAACACCACTTCTGTTGTTGCTGCGCGCAAGGGCTGGCAGCAGCGGCCGTCGGAAAGGGCATGTGCTCCCTTTGCACAGCCAGCCTAATTTAACGACAGGTTCTTCAGCTAGAGATACCGGTTGCTCTTTCCTTCTGCTCTGGTAATGCTGTCAACTGCCTGGAGCCCAAACCCCACGTTGCAAAATTAAAATCCCCTCCCAAAAAAGTGCCATCCGGCTGCCCTCTTTGGATGAGGTATGTTTTCCCATAAGCCACCCTTGCCAGCGCTGCACATTGGATGCTTTTGGCAGTTGAATGCGTTGGAGGATAAGTCAAAATACACTGAAATACTTAATGTTTTATTGAGGCTGGAGTTTGGGGTTGCAAGAAGCTTGCTAGTCGCCTGGATGGAGCCAGTTGCCTTTCAAGGAATTATTCCTTGAGCTGAAGAACTTTGAATTCTGTTTCTCTGCTATAAAGCGACTTCCTAGATTTACCTGGTGGCATCTTCTCTGCTTTCCTGCAAGGAGATGCTGTAGGGCCTCACCTTAAGAGAGGGTGAAAAATGAATTAATTAAGGGTGTCCAGCACTTGGAGAAGCCTGGGATCCTGTACTCCGACCTTACCAGCTGTCATGGGTGGGAGAATTGTGGCTCCCCTGTGCTGATGAATAGCTGTGCCTGTTACCCCCCGTTGCAGAATAGACTAGGCTTTAATCTTACAAAGTGTATCACTTTTTTTTTAAACTTTTTTTTTTTTATGCATTCTAGAGTTTCAGTGGTTAAAGCAGCCAAGTGCTGTCAGTATATTAAATTCTGGGAGTGTCTCTCCTGCTGGGGAGAGGATTTGTAAAACAAAGCATGTTTTCCTCCTCTCCGCTGCCAAACGGATCGTTTTCCCAAGTGAAATGGTGAGGCGCTTCCCAGCACATTACGTTTCACTCGAAGAATTTGCCATTGGTTATGGCTCGACGTGGAGTTTTTGCTGGGCTGTTGCTGCTGCTCCGGTGGAGCTGGGCTGGTGGCAGAAGGGAGGAGGAGGAGGCATCCACCGGCTCCGGGCATCACTTGCATGTGGCAGGAGGTGTACAACAGTTCCAGGAATTAAAAAAAAAAAAAAATTTTGGTTTATTATAGTAAAACCTCCGGGCGGTGAAGGTGGCCAGAAGCCAAATTGCAAGGTCCAAGGTGCGGCAAAGCTTCAGGATTTGTAAGGTGGCTTCTGTGCTCATGCCAGCCTCGCCTGGGCAGTAGCAGAGCATGAAGGGCAGGGGCCAGGGGCCGGGGCCCTGAACGGGGGCAAAGACGCCACGGTAACTCTGATTTGCAGGAAGGGGCTGGGGGCAAATGTGCGCTGATCTGATGAATACTGTGCCTGTTACCCCCCGTTGCAGAATAGACTAGGCTTTAATCTTACAAAGTGTATCACTTTTTTTTTAAACTTTTTTTTTTTTATGCATTCTAGAGTTTCAGTGGTTAAAGCAGCCAAGTGCTGTCAGTATATTAAATTCTGGGAGTGTCTCTCCTGCTGGGGAGAGGATTTGTAAAACAAAGCATGTTTTCCTCCTCTCCGCTGCCAAACGGATCGTTTTCCCAAGTGAAATGGTGAGGCGCTTCCCAGCACATTACGTTTCACTCGAAGAATTTGCCATTGGTTATGGCTCGACGTGGAGTTTTTGCTGGGCTGTTGCTGCTGCTCCGGTGGAGCTGGGCTGGTGGCAGAAGGGAGGAGGAGGAGGCATCCACCGGCTCCGGGCATCACTTGCATGTGGCAGGAGGTGTACAACAGTTCCAGGAATTAAAAAAAAAAAAAAACAAAAAGGTGGGGGGAAGATGGTAAAGTTAATACTTTACCATCTTCCCCCCACCTTTTTGGTTTATTATAGTAAAACCTCC